TTTTTTTAAGATTTCATTTATTTATTTGAGAGAGAGAGAGAACATAAGCAGGGGGAGCAGCAGAGGGAGAGGTCATGACTTGAGCTGAAGGCAGACACTTACCAACTGAGCCACCCAGGTGCCCCAAAAATAAAATCTTAAAAAGACCAAACAAAACCAAACCCAAAACAAAACCCTACAGTAATTAAGACAGCATGATATTGGCAGAGGGATGTCCAACTGACAAAGAGAATAGCATATGGATCACAGATACAGGGAAATCTCAGGTATGAGAGGTGGAGTACAGTCTCAGGGGAAAGGAGGGGCTGAATTGGTTTTCCCAACTCCAGTTTTTCCCTCTAAGCCATTCTCCACGTTGCCACCAGAATGAGCTTTCTAAAACACAGAACTGGTTGTGTTAATTCTCCACCGAATGTATTCAGTAACAGCCTATTATCTACTACAGCTTTCTCCCATGTGTACATTAATAGATACTTTGGTGGTTACATAAATTGGAAATTTGTTGGACGAAACAAAGTTAAATGGGCTATTTTACAAGACTTCTCAAAGATGCTGATATTCTAAGGGCTGTGAACCTCTAAATGGGGGATAGCACATCTGGCTAATATCCCCCACATTTAATTTAATAGCAGCTTGAGGAACTAGTGCGTCTTGGAACATATACTGGGAATGGAAATAGTTATTTCCTCAACTGACATAGTATACTAGACAATGCAACAGGCAGATTGGGTGTAATGGTTTAGAACAGGGTCCGGGAGTCTCTACATTATAGCTGGTCACTTTGGTCAAGTTATTTAACCTCCTTGTGATTCAGTTTCCGTATTTGTAAAACAGGCACACACACACAGTGTTGTATATATTTAATAATGACTATGATGGGATTGCTGAGAGGATTAAATGAGGAACTAATAACAAAACAGTACATTTCTTTCCCTGCCCCTTAAAACTGGCAATGTAGTTAGAATGAATTATTGATTTAAGTCCAAGACTTACTGATGCTTGTAACAATGTGGCCCATTGCCGATATACCTAGTCCTATTTTTAAAGGCCAGCTCGAAAGAAAACCTCTTTGGAGAAGTTTCCTTAATCTAAAACCCTGAGATGAGAATTCATGCTTTTCTCCACTTTGTGTCCATAGTATCTTCTCTATCAATGCCATTACAGTTTCTTGTTTTAAAGATTTTATGTATTTATTTGACAGAGAGAGACACAGTGAGAGAGGGCACACAAGCTGGGTGAGTGGGAGAGGGAGAAGCAGGGTTCCCACGGAGCAGGGAGCCTGATGCGGGGCTCGATCTCGGGACCCTGGGATCATGACCTGAGCCGAAGGTAGATGCTTAACGACTGAGCCACCCAGACACCCCGCCCTCATTGTATCACAAGCTATTAGCTTCCTGTTTTTCATGTTAAAATAAATTAGGAGTGTAGGTAATGTTTAATCTGTACTTTTTGAATGAGTTGGGGATTTGAAAAATAATTTAAAAAATAAAAGGAATTTAAAAATTACAAGACGGGGCCTGGGTGGCTTGGTTGGTTAAGCATCCAACTCTTGATTTCGGCTCAGGTCATGATCTCAGGGTCTTGAGGTGGAACCCCGCCATGGGCTCCGTGCTGGGCTTGGTGCCTGCTTAAGATTCTCTCTCTCCCTCTCACTGCACACCCCACCCCACGCTCTCCCTTATAAATCAATATCTAAAAAAGTTACAAGAGAGAACAATTTAAATGGCAAGTTCAATTTAGAGGAAACACTTGCAGGACAAAGATACTGTGTGTTTAATATGTACCAGGGGCATGCTTTATATTTTTTCATTTGAAAATATTTGAATTTCTGGTTTGAACCTGCTGAAAAACAAGGAGAAATTTACTGAAGTCACTGCACCTGTAATACTTGGTGAATAATATCCAGGTTTCTCTCCTAGATCTTGAAACAAATTTGTTAAAATTTGTCTCCCGCAGTTGTAATATAAAACACAAATACCATTAAAAGGAAACAGTGAGGCCATTACCTGTATCTATTTACAGTTAAAATCCTTAATAGCACAAACTGAGAAGAATAGTGCTTAGACCCATATTCTCAATAAATGAAAAATGGGTTAACCTCACTGGCAACAAAAGATTTTGAGGGGAAAAAGTGTTATACCAAGAAGTAATATAAAAAAAAAAAAATACTAGTCAGTGCTAGAGAGGGTGCTATATTGAGGGAGATACTCTCACTACCTGTCAGTGAGAATATAAATTGGTAGGTTTTGGGGAATTTGATTTGCTTGCAAAGCCTTAAAAACAGCCAGATTTAGAAATCAGTCCTAATGAAATAATATGAAATACATAAAGATGTTCACTGTTACCTGTAATAGTGATAAACTGGAAAAAAAAAAAAACCCTCTAAATATACATACAATAAAGGGATGACTAAATTAAGGTTTATCTCTACGAAACCATTTAAAAGGCTATTATCCTGAAACCAATGTTACACTATATGTTAATTAACCAGAATTTAAATAAAAACTTGAAACAAACAAAGGCTATTATTATCTAGTTCTTATTAACATGAGTAAATGCTTACCTTATGTTTCACAAGGACGTGATCCTAATCTAGCTTGTTTTCACTGTTTTATTCCTACGGTATAGTATAAGGACTAGCATATAATTTTTTAAATTACAAAGTGGTTTTTTTTTAATTAAAATTATGCTTTTTAGAGCAGTTTTAGGTTCACAGCAAAATTGAGTGGAAGATATGGAGATTTCACTTATACCCCTTGTCCCTACACATGCATAGCCTTTCTCATTATCAACATCCCCCATGAGAGTGGTACATGTTATAATGGATGAACCTACACTGACACAGTATAACCACCCAAAGTCCATAGTTTACATTAGGGTTCACTCTTGGTGGTGTACAGTTTGAGGGTTTGGACAAATGTACAAAGACATGTATCCCTTATTATAATATCATAGAGCATTTTCACTGCTGAAGAATCCTCTGTGCTCCTTCAATTCATCCTTCTTTCCCCCCAACCCCTGGCAACCACTGATCTTTTTACTGTCTTTATAGTTTTGCCTTTTCTAGAATGTCATATGGTTGGACTCATACAGTATGCAGCCTTTTCAGACTGGCTTCTTTCACTTAGTGATGTGCATTTAAGGTTCCTCCATGTTTTTTCATGGCTTGATAGTTCATCTCTTTTTAGCGTTGAATAATATTCTATCATCTGGATGTACCAACTTATTTATCTATTTACCAACTAAAGGGTGTTTTGGTTGCTCTCAAGTTTTGGCAATTATGAGTAAGGCTGCTATAAACATCTGGGGACAGGTTTTTGCATGGACATGTTTTCAACTCCTTTGGGTAAATACCAGGGAGGGTGATTGCTGGATGGTTTGGTAAGAGCATGTTTTGTTTTTATAAGAAACTGACAAACTAACAGTCTCCCAAAGTGGCTGAAGCATTTTGCATTCCCACCATCAGTGAGGAAGAGTTCTTGTTCCTTCACATCCTCACCAGCATTTGGTGTTGTCAATGCTGTGGATTTTGGTCATTCCAGTAATGTGCAGTGCACATAATTTTTTTTTTCTTTAAAAAGTGGCTTTTTATGGGGCGCCTGGGTGGCTCAGTTGGTTAAGCGACTTCCTTCGGCTCAGGTCATGATCCTGGAGTCCCGGGATCGAGTCCCGCATCGGGCTCCCTGCTCAGCAGGGAGTCTGCTTCTCCCTCTGACCTTCCTCCTTCTCATGCTCTCTGTCTCTCATTCTCTCTGTCTCAAATAAATAAATAAAATCTTAAAAAAAAGTGGCTTTTAATTAATTTTTAACCTATAATTTCTTTTATTTATTTATTTAAATTCAACTAATTAACATATGTACATAAATTTTTAATAAATATTTGGTAGGGGCGCCTGGGTGGTTCAATCGGTAAGAGTCTGCCTTCCGCGCGGTCATGATCTTGGGGTCCTGGGATAGAGTCCCTTGTAGGGCTCTCTGCTTAGAGGGGAGTCTGCTTCTCCCTCTCCCTCTGCCCCTCCCCACCGCTCGTTCTCTCTCTCAAATGAAATCTTTTTAAAAAATAAAAAACAAAAAAATATTTGGAAAATGACTGAAAACTAATGTTCAGTGAAAAATGTAAAATTATATAAAACGGGATTTCTGCAGAAAATCAGTGTAGAAAAAAAACTGTAATGACACACAACCAAGTGGGAAAAGAGTCATGGGCATTTGTTAAAAATAGCTTTATTGAGGTATAATTTTACATACCCACTGTCTATGTACAGTTCAATGATTTTTTTTTTTTTAAGATTTTTATTTATTTATTTATTTATTTGAGACAGAGAGCATGAGAGGGAGGAGGGTCAGAGGGAGAAGCAGACTCCCCGCCGAGCAGGGGGAGCCCGATGCGGGACTCGATCCCGGGACTCCAGGATCATGACCTGAGCCGAAGGCAGTCGCCCAACCGACTGAGCCACCCAGGCGCCCCAGTTCAATGACATTTACACAGTTGAGCAAATATCACCATAATCCAGTATCATGGTCAATTTTTGTTTTCTCAGCCCATCTTTTCTGTATGGTAAAGGAGGATTTACTCTTTGAAAGGCCTCTTCACGGAAGGTTGGTGGAACTGAATTCTAGAATTACCCATAAAATTATTTTCTCGTCTAATGACCTGAGCCTCTCCCTTCAATTTGACGTATGCAACTTCCTAGCAGAAAGTGGATTTTAAAAGCAGCAGGAAGGTCCTGTGCGACCTTCCGTAGTAAAATGTTAAGGGTTGAGCAGGTACGATGCAGCCTAGCTTGTTTGGACGTCCCCAACCCACCTGGGAAGTTAGCCGCTACAGCCCACAGGCTGGGGCCACCATCCTCCGTGAAGTGCCCAGAGAAGGGACCTTCGTTGCACTCACTCAGCTCCCTAAACTTGGCTTCCCTTCGGGAAGAAGCCGACTGAGACAGGTTAGCACCTGAATACCCATCACAGCCCCGGCTCCCAGCGCCCCGCCTCCAGCCTCCTACCTGCAGAGAAGCAGAGCAAGGACAGCCGGTGCCTCAGGCGGGCCAAGCCTAGCACAGTGGGAGCAAAGAACATGGCTTCATCGTCGGGGTGCGCGATCACCAGGAGGGTCCTGCTTCCATCTCCCGGGACGCCAGCCGGCTCCAGACTCTTCATTCTTGCCCAGGAGTCCCAAACCCACAGGAAGCCCCATGCTAGGATCGCCGCTGCCAGACACAGAAAACCCACGGCTTCCATCCGCTCTAAGTGGCACTGCGCTTGCGCAGGAGGAAGGCTGCCGCACACCCAGCCTCCGGCGGGAAAACTGCACTCGCGGAAACTGCGTTCCGAGTTTAAGTCCGTTTTGCCGACGAGAGGCTCTAAACGTTGGGTTCCTGTTGTGGTTTTACAAGGACGCCTCCCAACCGTTCTTTATCTAGTTCTCTCTACTTTATGCAATCTCTACGACGTCTTTTTGCCTTCTCGATTTCAGAGACGAACCCCTTGCCGTCCGGCTTTCTGCCCCTGTCCTTACAGTGCCATGGGTTTAAAAAGAAGCGTTTGGAAATACCTGCCCTCCCTCTCTTGAATTCCCTCCTCTCTTCAGTTCACCACTTTGTAACTCATTTATTAAAACCCTAGGCTTCCTCGTAATTATTTGTTAGCCCCTTATCCGGATGAACCGACTCTGTTTTTCCTTCTTCATGTTGGCTTGTGGAGCGGCGGCTCCTCTGAAGGAAAAGCACGCGGTTACGGGGAACCGTCCAGTGATTCCTCTAGAAGGGTAAGGCTGAGCGAGCGCACTTCGTAGTCGCCGAGAGCCACGGGCTGCTCCGACGGGTGACTTTAGATTAAGGAACGACATCACGGACAAATCAGCAGCGCCTGACATGTCAGTGAAGTCCCGCTGCGAATTACAGCCGCAGCCCTGCAAACTATCTTGGGTAGGTCGACGTGCAGCCCTCTGGCTCCCAGCGCTGGGGACCTGCCTTCGCTCCCCGCAGCCCGGGCCGGAGGAGGCGGCGGGCCCGGTGCCGCCGCGCCGCGGAGGGGTCGCAGGGCCCGAGGCCAGGCCCCGGGTCCTTCCCTTTCCCACGCCCCGGGGAAGGCCCCGAGCGCGCGGGAGCCGGCAGGCTCGCGGCGGGCGCCCCGGCCCGAGTGCGCGATGGCAGCGCGCTGGGTCCGGCCCGCCCCGGCTTGGCCCCGGCGCGTCTCCGCTCGAGGGGACCGCCGCCCGCCAGGCTGAGGGGAGAGCCGAGGGCACCAGGCGCGGGGCGACCCAGGAAGCTCGGCCGAGGTAGGCGCCGCGCTCGGCCAGCGGAGGGAGTCGATCTCCCAGCCCTCCGGAAGGAGGAGGAGCCGGCGCCGGAGCCGCCTTAGCGGCGGCCGCCGGAGCCGAGGGGGAGGGAGAGGGGTTGAGTCAAGATGGCGGCCAAGGTGGCGAAACAGCAGCAGCGGCGGCGGCGGCGGCGGCTGGAGTGAGCTCCCAGCTTGCCGCGCCGAGCGAGGGCCCGGGGTAGGGACGCGCGGCGGGGCCGCGTCCTGCTCCTCAGGCCCGGGGGCGCGCCGGCTACCAGCTCCGCCAGCTCCTGGTGAGTAGGCCCCGGCGCCCGCAGCCCCGGCCTCCGGGCCCCCCGCTCCCTCCGGGGCTTCCGAGGGCTCCCAGCGCCGGCCGCGGGAGCGGCCTCTCGGCCCGGCGAGGGGCGTCGCGGGCCCGGTAGGTCCGGTTCCGCCGCAGACGCCCGGCCTCTTCCCCTCGGCCGCCCGGGGCGGCTCGGGCGCGGCGGGGAGCTGGGGCTGGGCGAGGGGAAGAGGCTTATGGAGTTTGGAGGAAGAATGGGCTGCGGCCGGCCGGGTGTCCTGTGGGGAGGGGGCGTGCGGAGTCCGGCGGGCCGACCGAGGGAGACCGGGGGGGCCGGGGCAGCCCAGGTGGGGCCGGCACAGGTGGCGGGCCTGGGCTCACTCTGAGGCGGAGTTGGTGGCCGTCTTGGGAGCGTGGAAGGGCTTAGGGAGGGTGACAGCGATGGACAAGTGCGTGAAGAGCAAACTAGTTCACCTTCTAAGCAAACCACTTCGGGGTGTAATGGCGAAGGGTGGGTAGTGGCGGAGATGGCAAAGATCGGAACCCTCTACCTCCTGCCTTTTATTACGGGTGTTTTACTGGGTGAAGTCGGTGAATTCTCTTTTATAGAGGAAGGAGGATTCGAGAAACTGTAATTGAGAAACCGGCCTTAATGGAGAGCAGACTGAATTCTTCGATTGGACTGGATTAGGTGTAGTTATTAGAGGTGGACGTGGGAATAAGTGATTTTTGTGAAAAGTGTTTGCTCAGGAAGCGTCAGTTTTCTTTTACTGATGTTGCACGCCATGGCGCCACTTCAGCAGAGTTAACCTTGGAGAGCAGTGATATAGGTAATTCTAATCTTTGGGATTAGTGTATTCACCTGCATCAGATTTGCTTCCCTGATCATATCCTAATTAATATTGAAATCTGCGTTCCTTGTGTGCATCCTGGCGAGGCAATGATGAGAGACAGAACACTGAGCCAAGAGCAACAGGCCCGGGATTTTAAAATGCCTACAAATATTCATTCGTTCGTTCAACATATCTTGATCAATAACTGCTGCTAATAGGTCACATGGGATTGACCTTTCCATAACTGAAGAGCCGTTGGCATTATTTAATTTTTAATAGTTTAAAAAAACGTCTTAATGTACCCTTTCATAAAAATATTTATTGGAGGAACCAAGTGGCCTGGGCTCGGGAGCAGATAGAACAATTTTAGAATCTTATTTAGAAATGGGTAAAAATTACCAAAGAAATAAACACAAGTTGTTGGAGGAAGAAATAGTGTTTGTATTCGCTTATTCTGTTAGATCCGGTGGGAGCTTATTTATTTATTTTAGTATTTATAGTACACAGTTGCCTTGCCTTGCTTTAAGCACACCTGTCAACAGAAATCAAGGTTAACACACGTATGTATAAATCATATGCACATACTTACATACATACATAAGGATGGGATTACTTGCAATACCAAAATACTCTTTCCTTTTGCAAAAGGCTTACCATATGTTGAACTACTCCCCCAGAGAAAATACAATACAAAGAGTCCTGATTCTTCCTTTTACTAAGTGACATTTTGGAACATGATCAGCCTTTCTGTGCTTCCCTTTCCTCATCTATGATAGTAGGAAAATATCCATTCTCTTAGGGTTGGCTGCTGTGATCCTAAGAGAGTTAATAGTTATGAAATTGCTTTAAACAGATAGAAAGGGTTATGTTTCTGTGAGGTAGTAACAACTTCCTTTGCACTCCTGAAGTGCTTATCTGCACATCTCCCGTGGCATTCACACTTTCTACCTTGTATTTAGGTATTTAGGAACCAGTTTTATCTCCTCTTGAGATCAGGATAGGCCCTTCTCAGATTTTATCTTTACGTTTAAGGCACCAGGTATGATTTTATTTTCTGTGTAGGGTATTGACACTGCAAATGTTTGTTGAATGAATAAACATTGTATTCTAATTAGAAAAATGTATTCACATTACGACTTAACCTGAATAGGCCTGTTACGTACTATAGCTGTGATTCCCTCCATCGCCTCTGAGAAAGATATATTTTTAACTGAATGCCTTTTTGGATTTAATCAGACAGTAAAACTTAAGTATTCAGTGTGCTCACATAATTTTTTAAAAGAAAATGCTTGAAAATAACTTATGTTTCTTTGAATTTAATTGAGTAAAAGTTGGTTCCAAAGCTAGGTAAATATAGTCAAGTTTTTGTAAGCTTTTTTTTTTTTTTTTTTTTCTTTTTAATTTGGGAAGTGGTGAGATTTTCTTGCCATTACTGCAGTAGGAAGCAAAGCCTTTTGAATAGGCCAGGGATTGATGTAGGTAAATGTCAGGCTATTTGTTACTTAGTTTTTTTAGTGTGTTTTGTTACTCAGTTTTAATTGTATTTTGTGATTTGTCTTAATTGCAATTTCAGATTCTTACTGATGCCTGGGAACCATGGAGGTCTAGCCTATTTAGTTACTTCAGTTTCTTCTCTTCAGATGTTGCATTTTGCTAGAGTACCTTGCAAAGAAGTGGTAAAGCTTGATCAGAATTTTTTTTTCTTTTTTCTTTTTTTTTAAGATTTTATTTATTTATTTGCCAGAGAGAGAGACAGCGAGAGAGGGAACACAAGCAGGGGGAGTGGGAGAGGGAGAAGCAGGTTTCCTGCGGAGCAGGGAGCCCGATGCGGAGCTCGATCCCAGGACTCTGGGATCATGACCTGAGCCGAAGGCAGACGCTTAATGGCGGAGCCACCCAGGCGCCCCCACAATTTATTTTCTATGGACTTACTTGTTGATTAGAGATTCATATGTAGTTCATTCACTTGTTCAACTGGTGTGACATGCCTTTTATGTTCAGGGTACATTACTAAATGCTTGCAAAGGTGTAAAGTTGAGCAGATCAATTATGTGCACAAATAAGTCTCTAGGTTGCCTGATATTTTGTCTTTTTCAGGTTTGAGGATGCAAGAAGTACATTTAGATTGATGGTTAAGGAAACATTTCGGTTTTTTTTTCTGTCAGGACTTCTTAGTATTGAAAAGCTATGAAAAGCTTCTGTCATGTAGCAATAACTGTATGTAGGACATCTGTTTTTTATTTGGTATTCTTGTGGTGGTGGTTTTCCTTGAACATTTTTACTGTTCTTCTACTATTTTTTCTACCCCAGAAGCTTGTGTGGTCAAAATATTACTTGGATAGTCTTCAGATACAACATACTTTTTTGTTTGTTTGTTCTCTTTGCATTTGAGAGTGAGACCATAGAAAGCCATGTTAATGTTCCTGTGGAGTTCTTCAGTTCGATTCCTCCGTGGGCGCTACTGTTACTTTTACTTAAAAGTGATCGCAAAAAACAAAACAAAAAACAAAAACTAAATTGGTTAAAATAGAATGCTAATAATTTATAGAATTATAGGATCTAGAGTCATAGATGATCTAATCTTACTTTACTCGTGAATAAACTGAGGGTCACGGAAGTGAAGTGATTTGCCTAAATTGTTGCAATTGGCCAGTGGTAGAATCCATTCTTATGACATCCAGTGTGGGACTCATTCCATTACACCATCTCATCCATCAGATGATTCAGCGTGATGATTGACAATTAGAACAAAAATCGGGGTGGATGGGGAATGAGAGATTACTTATTCAGCTTAGGTATTGGGTTTATCTTAACTTTAAATTTCTGCAATGAAACTATAGTTTGAAAAAAATTAGTATTGATCTACATCAATAATATGATCACTGGGAATTATTTGGTTTGCTTAATTTTTAATCTGTGATGAATATCTTCTTTTTTTTAAACATATTGTTTAAAAGATTTTATTTATTTATTTGAGAGAGCGAGAATGAGAGAGAGAGAGAGAGAGAGCACATGAGAGGGGGGAGGGTCAAAGGGAGAAGCAGACTCCCTGCTGAGCAGGGAGCCCGATGCAGGACTCAATCCCGGGACTCCAGGATCATGACCTGAGCAAAAGACAGTCGCTTAACCAACTGAGCCACCCAGGCGCCCCTGTGATGAATATCTTCTTAAACAAAAATGTCTTTGAGGTTGTCTGGACCTAGTGATAGTTCATGGAATTTAAGTATTACAGTAATAGAAATTGTATTATGTCGACGGTTAGGAACTTCTGAGACCCAAACAGGTTAAATTACTTTATATATTAGCTGTTGCTTGCTTTTCCTTCTTCCTTCCTTCCTTTTTTTTTTTTTTTTAAGATTTTATTTATTTGGGATAGAGAGAGAGCGAGTACAAGCAGGAGGGTGGAGGGGCAGAGGGAGAGGGAGAAGCATGCTCCCCACCCAGCAGGGGGTCCGATGCAGGGGCTGGATCCCAGGACCCAGAGATCATGACCTGAGCTGAAGGCAGACGCTTAACCGACTGAGCCACCCAGACACCCCTTGCTTCATCTACTTTCAAACTTCTGGATCTTTTTTTTTTTTTTTTTTTTTAAAGTATGAGGGACTTCAGTTGTTAAATAAAAGCTTAGATAAATAGCATGAATGTGGACTGTATTCTTAATGCTATGTTGAAAAGCACACATGTAGTATTAGTTTTCTATGGTACTTATGCCATAAAATTTATTTTTATTTTTTTATTTTTAAAGATTTTATTTATTTATTTGATAGAGTGAGAGAGCACAAGCAGGGGGAACAGTAGAGGGAGAGGGAGAAGCAGGCTCCCCGCTGTGGGGCTCCATCCCGGGACCTGGGGATCATGACCTGAGCCAAAGGCAGATGCTTAACCATCT